TCCTAAATCAGAACACCGCTGCTAACTTGTAACCAGAAGAGGGTTCCATTTGCCTTCCTGGGCTACTGAAGACAGTGGAGTGCACTCGAGCGCTGTATGGGGCTGGGGCGTCACAGCTGTCACCCCAGTAGCTCTAGCATTTATAGTAATGCTCTGTGGAGCATTACTGTAAGTCTAGGAACCACGCCAGTTGCTTCTTTTGGAGTTACCTGTTTTTAACTTTCAAACAACTTCAATCAAGATGTGCTGCTCCCATTTTTCAGCTAAGGAACTCGAGACACCGGGGCTAAAATGTATCCCAAACAAACTTCAGCCATTCAATCTAGTCTTGTTCCAGGATCTCTCCATTGCTCTATCACTTCAGTCTTCTAAAATACAGGGTTAGTCAGCTGTGTTTGTAATTTGTGAGGAGTGGGGACTATTTTCCCTGAGGCAGTAATAAACTAATGATAATTAATGTATGATAGAAAGGCAGGTCTTTTTGATCTTTATCCTTTTGATTTCAATAATGGGTATCTTGAGGCATGGGTGTGTGGGGAAGAGGGTGTGGGAGGAGGCAGCTGAGGAGCAGGGACAAAGGGAGTCAAATGCACTATCATTAAGAGTTCCATCACTAGGAGTCTGCTGCTTCCTTTTGGAACCTTGACCCCTTAAAGTTTTTTAGGCTTCAGTCATGTGTGATGTGGTAAAGTATGGGGAACTCTAAATTCTAAAATATTTTATCTATTATTTTTAATCTGCCCTCCTGAATCAATAAAAAGAACTGAATTATCTTTGTTACATTTATTACTCACATATTAACTAAACACTCATGACATTTGCTGTCCTATTCTCACACACATATTGGAAGCTCAGTTTAAGGGATCATGAGGCAGATTTCTTGGGAGCACTGGCACATTTTTAAGTGTCTTAGGAAGGCTATTAAGTGTTAGAACTGGAAGTTCAGTGGCAATCTCAGTACCATACCTGTCCTTTCAGCCACTTTGTGATATGCTTTAAATAAAAATTACAGTTAAATTTCTTCTCTGTACAAGGCACCAGTATGCTGCTCATTTTATTGTTACGCAACATGTCTTATAAACCAGTAATGAATATTTATGTTTTTGGAAAAGCTACCAACTCTTTCTTGAACTGTTTCCTAATTCAGTACATGTAGGTTTATATGTAAAATTAATTACCTTGGCTTGGGAATACCAATTTTGAAGTGTATTTTCATTTTTTTCATGAGCTAAGTGTGCATTTTTTTATAGGTTTGGACTTGGTAAAAGTAGGCTTTATGGGAGGGAAAGGAGAACAGAAAATAAAAGGAAAATACAACAAGGATACTGTTGATTAACCTGTGTACATTAACCATAAGCCTGCATAGGAGTTTGGGAAGCATGAACATCTTTGGGGATCCTGGGTAAGCACAGACAGTTGAGGAAATTAATTCTCTGAGGAGAAACCTCCCCACGTGGTCCAGAAATGCACTGTTAGGGAATGACTGTTGAGTCTTGTGAATATTTATGAGGCATAAAAACACATGTTCTCACCTCCCTCAAATGTTGTATAGAAGGAGCTAGTTGTACACAAGTCCAACTCTGGGGAGCAGAACACCATCCTGGGGTGAGAGCTCTGTGCAGATGAACATGCATCTCTTCCTTTGGAAAAATCCCAGAGTCATAGCTCCTTTGCCATTTCTCTTTTGGAGAAAATGTTTGCATGGGCTATTTCCTGATGCCTTTTTTTTTCTTTTACATAATAAGAGCAAAGAGATCATGTTAAATTTATGTTACTGATTTTTGTATAAATGTAAAATTTCCTTGGCTGATTGTATGCTTTCCTTTCCTTATGTTACGGTTTAGGGGAGATAATCCAGATAAAGACATTATCTCCCTTCTGATCTTTGTGGAAGTGCAGGTGGTTCTCAGATGGCAGGAACGAACGGTAAGATTAGAGGTGTGAGTTTAGATAGTTTGGTAACATACCGTGAGTGATTCTCTGCAGTGTGTAGCATAGTGTAGATACTAAATCACTCTTTAAAACTGTTTGAATCAGGGGCCAGAGAGATGACTCAGTAGTTAAGAGCACTGACTGTTCTTGCAGAAGATCTGGGTTTAAATCCTAGCACCCACACGGTGGCTAACAACTGTCTATAACTCCAATTCCATGGGATCCAACGCCCTCTTCTGTCCTCCTTGGGCACTGCATGACACAGATGCACTTATTTCCATGCGGACAATACCCATGACAATACACACAATACACATGAAATAATAATAAAAAAATTGAATCAATGCATAAGAGGATATACATGTAATGACAAGCAAAAGTGAACATTTTGAGGAAAATCTGAAAATATCTTCAAAATAGGTGTAGTTTTATTTATTTATTTATTTAGTTAGTTATTTTTTAAAATTTATTATCCCTCCCAAGTGCTGGGATTAGGCCTGCACCACCACACCTGACTAGAAGCTTTTTTTTACAGTATGCAGTAGTCAATGTAGAGACTCACAACTGGTCAACATACTCAGAATAAGTAACTGTGAGTGCTCAGCCCTAAATGGGACATCTATATCAATGCTTGCCCCCCACCCCCTGCCCCCCAGGCTCAGAGAATGAGGAAGAAGAGGTAGGAAGAACGTAAGAACTGGAGGATGGGGAGGCGTGCCATAGGTATGACATGGCTTCTGCACTCATGAAATCACTGCAGCTGTGGTTGCCTGAACAAAAGAAAGCCAGCCAGATCCCAGCATGGGTGGGAGGAGCCCTTGAGGCCCCACCCCTTACTGAAGAGCTATTGGCAGGTGATAGCTTCTAAAGTAGGGAGAACACTCTTATTTGAGGGTGTGGCCACTAGTAGAATACCCATAATCCAGCAATATGCAGCACTATTTGGATTCGGTGAGTTACTTAAAAACAGAAGACATGAAGTGGGAGTGAGGACATGTTGGGGGAATCAGAAGGTGCTGGACGGAAGACATGAGGGTGGAAAAAGATATGATCACAGTCCATTGTATGCATGTATGAACTTCTCTAAGAATAAAAAACAACCAAATAAAATGCCAGAATGTACAAATGCCAAATATTTAAATTGCCATAAACTTAACTACTGCCTTGTGATAGAATTTTCAATTCACATAATTGAATTGATAAAGTTCAATTGATATAAATTGCAGTAACTTATAAAGTTACTGCATTACATATTTAAAGATGTGTTAAAGTTACTTAATAGAAGATGCCCACCAACCCCCCAAAAAGAAAAGCACTTCAGACATTTTAGACTTCGAGGGTCAACGTCATATATAATTTTCTGCAGCAATGACAATGAAAAATAAATAAAAAATAAAAGGGAAGAATATAAGAAATAGTAAACATAACCCAGGGGGCAGCACAAAGAAACCCTGTGAGAGTTGTGCAGCAGGTCAGGGAACAGAGCACACAAAACTGATCACTTAGCAGACAGTATGACAAACTAAGTGAATTTCCACATAACAACTTTGTAAATGCTAGTTTTAAATTTTCAGATTTAACCAAAAAACAAAACATGAAAAAAACAGATTTCTTTTTGGAAACAGGGTCTCGCTATGTTGCCCTGGCTGGCCTAAAACTTACTACATAGACCAGGATGGCCTTGAATTTACAGAGATCCACCTGCCTTTGCCTTCCAAGTGCGGAGATTAAAGGTATACACCAGCACACCTGACAAAAAAATATAGTTAAAGAATATAAAGGTCATAATTTTTTTTTTCTTTTAGTACAAAGCTGCCTCTCACATGCCAGACAAGCACTACATTCACAGACAAATGTATAAATTCTGATGCCACAGAACTAACAATGAAGCTCTGAGGAGCTGGGTTGTAAAAGAAGAATAAACAAACTTGAACATCCCAGGTTCTACCCCGGCACTCTAGAGTAGCTGCTTCAAGTATGAAGTAGTAAGTTGTTACACAGCACTATCTTCTGAGCGTAACAGCCGTCATCTTCATCACAGCAGCCCTGACCACTTGCAAGAGACCCTGTAGATTAGGCCTGTTGACTGTGGATGTTTTCTCATACAACAAGGGGCATGAGGAAAGTGACTGCACCCTCACCCAATCTCAACCACTCTCTCCCGTACCTCCCAGCTAGCTGGATACAATTCTGCCCTAGCTGGTCTCAGGGGAGCTACAGCAGACAGATAACAGATGGTCACTGAAGGGGAACGTCATCTATGCAGCTATGGGGAAGCCATCATCCATGCAGGGGTGCGACTTCCTGGTGGTCTGGTGGCTTTGGGGTCACCTACGATCCCATAAATAACCCTCATCCATGCTCTGCAAGTGGGCCAAATCAACTCACAGCACCCCAAGGCAGGCATGGGTGGAATTCTATTATGGTTTGTTGTTGTTGCTCTGTAAGGAGGGGGTAAATGTTTACATCTCCCCAGTGAAAGAGTTCTCAAAACATAAATACCACTTGAAATACAACACTTGAAATACCATACTTAGAACTATTGGGATAACTGAGAAAGAAATATAAAATATTTAAAAAGAAATATAAAATAATCAGGAAATGTTTAAGAAATCCCTGTCTTTCAAAGAACCAACTTGAGTCAGTAAAGAAACTATATACATTAAGGAATAGAAGTATAAACACACTGTGTTCAGAACAGAAGCCCCTACTCAAAAGAACTAAGAAGAAGATGTACGAACTAGGCAGGAGCAGGGAGTGGGACAACCAGAAGAGAGAAGGAAGGAATGAAAGCAAGGGGACAGGAGACGGGAGGGGTCCGTAGAACTACTTCGTTTACCCACACAAAGCATCATTTGTCTCCATCCTTTCCTTTTCTTCCTCCTGGTAATATAACACCACTCACACAAGCATATATTAGCCTGCCCTTACAGTTTATAGGAAGAGGATTTTAAAAACCAGTTTAACACCTAAGTGTATGAGCTGTGCTTTGCATGCTTCCTTTTCAACTCTAAGAATTCCAATGACACGCTAATTTACTTTTGTTTTCTGGAAAGTTCCAGACTTACCATGAAACTTTTCTGCCTCAGGATCATTCACATTAATAGCAATTATTTTCCAATCTGTTTCACCCTCGTCAATAAGAGCCAAAATTCCAAGGATCTTCACGTGAATCACTTCTCCACGAGAAAGAACCTACACAGAGAAAAGATGCTCATCATTTGCAAGGCTTTGGAGAACTTAAAAAGATATGATATAAATCACTGCAGATGATGGAAATCTAATAGTTCTGATAACAAAAAACTAATGTGAAAATAGTTGGGGCTGGAGAGATAGCTCAGCAGTTAAGAACACTGACTGCTCTTGCAGAGGACCTAGGTTCGATTCCAAGCACCCACATGGCGGCTAACAACTCCATCAGTCCACAACTCCAGTTCCATGGGATCTGATGCCCTCTTCTGACCTCTGAGGGCACTGCGTGACACAGGTGCACTTACACACATGCAGGCAATACACTCAAACACATAAAAAATAAAAATAACCAGAAAATAGTCATAAGGTCTGCCTTGTAGTATCTGCTTAGGATTAAGTATCTCAAAACTTCTACTTCTACTCATGAAAGATTGCTGGTTAGATAAACAAAAAGCAAAACTAAACTAAAGAAATGTATCCTCCAAGGAAAATGGACAAAATGTGTACAATCACTCTTTTCAGACATCAAACAACAGGCAGTGCAGGATCTGGAGGACTGTGACCTCAGAGGGAGGTTAACAAGGGAGGAGGGCCTTGTAATTGCTGGGGTTTTCTGCTTAACACACTGCAGACCAAGGGCCAGGAAGACAGAACCCAGCAGAGCAAAGGAATCCTAAGAAAAGTTTTAAGATTCATAGAGAAAAATTTTTCAAAGGGTTGGGGGGAGGGGTGGCTTGTGAGATGGCTCAGTGGGTAAAGGCACCTGCTGCCAAGGTTGATAACCTCAATTTTATCTCCAGGACTCATAATGTGGAAGGAGAGAACTGATTCCCACAAGTTGTCCTGGAATCTCCACACCCGCTTCATGGCAGGGGCATATGTGAGCATATGTGAGTATGCACACAAATGCACAAAATAAATAAATAAAACTAAAAATTAAAAACATAGAACCAAGAAGGATGAGGCAGCTACGATTCATGGGACCACAGACTGTAAACAAGAATTTATTCTGGAAATCCACACAGGGAGCCTCCTGAAACTTCAGTGAGGGGCTAACCTGTGCATGCCTGCATGCCTGCATACTTGGGATAAGCAACAAAGCAGATGCCACAGAACTACGCTTAGAAAGAGATCCAACCACTATGGAAAATGTCATTTAGCACAAGGGATAGTCAACACAGAGTAGAAGAGACTGGAGTTGCTAGAGTCAAACTTGCTCTCAAGAAGAGGCTGTCAGACCTGCCCTAACAAAGTTCTGGTTTTGTTGTTACTACATTTTTATGCCTAGAAACAATCAAAATGATTGAATGAGTGAATGGCAAGAAAGTAATTGTTAAAGCTCGAGATACAAACAAAACAGGTTTCATAAAATGCTTAAAAATGAATTTAGGATAAATTAAATAACAGCAACAAGCTGGGCTGGGGACATGGCTCAGTCTGCACAGTATGTGCTACGTGAGCAGGAGGGCCCGAGTCCCCAGAACCCACACCAAAGCCAGGTGTAGTGCCACATGTTTGTAATCTCAGCAGGGGCTAGGAACCAGGAGGATCCCCGAGTCTCTCTGACCAGCCAGCCTAGCCAAATCAGTGACAAACTCTGCCTTAAAAAAACAGAAAGATGGCACTTGATGAATAATGACAGAGGTGGACCTCTGGCCTCTACATGCACATACATACACTCATGTGCACATTTCCTCATTTCCACTCATATGTATGAACACACACACACACACACACACACACACACAAAGAAGTTGAAGCTGATGCTCCATTGCTTAGGAAAGTGATTTCAGTGCCCTCAAGTTACTAGTGCCTGAATTCTTTCTATATTCTTTTACTTATTTATTTATTTTTTAAATTATTTTCATTTTATGTGTATGTATATATTGTCTGCATATGTGTAAGTGCACCAGTGTCATGCAATGCCTGTGGAGGACAGAAGAGGCCATCAGATTCCCTGGAACTGGAGTTACAGACACTTGTTAGCTGCCATGTGGGTGCTGGGACTTGAACCCGGGTCTTCTGCAAGATCAGCCAGTGCTCTTAACTGCTGAGCCATCTCTCCAGCCCTTCTTTACTTATTTTTAAAGGTTCATTTGGCTACAGAATTCCCTTATAAGCTTTGAACATGCTTCAGATCAGATTCCTTCATGATTCAAAATGCAGTTTTACATTCACAAAATAAGGTATGCAAAACCAAGTTATTTCTTTGCCCTGAAATAGTTTATTTTGAAAAACTATGATGTTAAGCAATAAAGGCAAATAAATTCACTCAAAACATTTGCAAAATAAAATCTTAATAAGTATACATGAAGTGATTTGCATAGCAGATTACTGTGTGACTATAGTAATGTGGGGTTTTTGTTGTTTTTTGTTTGTTTGTTTGTTTTTTTGACAGAGTCCCCTAGTCCTAGCCTGCCTGGAACTCACTATGTATACAAGGCTGGCCTCGAACTTACAAAGATCTGCATCTGCCTCCCAAGTGCTGGGTTTAAAGGCATGTGCCACCATGACCAGCTGTGATTCTATTACGGAAACTGAAATTTCACTCTTAAGATACACAATTACCTTAGCCAGGATTTCATACACTTCACATCTATCAAGTACCCAGTGTTATATTAGGAACTGTGAGTGAAAAAAAAAATCAAAGAATATCTGCTCTCAAAATTTATCGCCTTGTGTGAGAAACTTAAGATACTTCAGGCCAGGATAGAATAATGAGGCAGAATACAAAATACACTTTAGTAAAAGAAGGTTTCAAAAACCAGGACTCTATCATCACAAGTAATAACCACAGAAACAACATGGCCATAACTTGGAAATTTTAAAGGACAGGGATAGGATTGTCACAGAGATGTGTATCAGTTCTCTCAATTATTAGCACTGGAAGAGAACACTGCAGAGGCTGGAAACAGACTCAGAATCAGGTGCCTGCAATTCAATTCTGCTCTGACATCTGTCAGCTAGCAGCACTGGAGAGCAATTGCATGGAAACTGGGGAACCAGAATGTCTGCTCCACAGGAGGCAGTGGGAAATGAGGAGATAAACTAAATGAGCACTTCCGGTAGTTTTTAGACTAGTACTTTTCTGTAAGTGTCAACATCAAAGTTTAGATTCCTTAAAGAAATCATAATTTATTTTTCCTCTTACCAGTCTTGCTAAATGAAAATATTAGGATTAAAAAAAAGTTTGTCCCTCAAGTATATCCTCAAGGCAAGATTTCTAAGTGGCATTTCATCTCACTTCCTACGGTGTTCTAACTCTATAAAAGGCATGTACTACCATTTTCATCTTACCCCACGCAGAATGGCTAAGAGCCAAAAAACAAGACTAGTGCTGGCAAGGATGTAGGGAAATGGGAACTCTTATTCACTGCGGTGGAGTGCCAACTGGTGCAGCCACAACAGAAATCAGTGTGGAGATTCCTCAAAAAGCTAGAAATCGATCTACCATATGATCCAACCATACCCCTCTTGGGCACATACCCAAAAAACTCTGTATCCTACTACAGAGATACTTGCTCATTCATGTTCATTGCTGCCCTTTCCACAAAAGCCAAGAAATGGAAATAACCTGTGTGTCCATCAACTGATGAATGGGTAATTAGATTATAGTACATTTAAATACACATGGAATACTATTCAGCTGTCAAAAAATGAAATTCACAGGTAAATGGATGGAACTGGCAATAATCATTCTGAGTCAGGTAATCCAGATCCAGAAAGATAAATGTCACATGTTCTTTCACATAGCTGAATGCCAGCTTTGAATTCTTAGACATACATGTTCAGTTGGAAAATTCAGAGAGGTCAAGAAATATATATATGGTGGGGGGGCCATATTCATGAGAGGGAAAGTAGAGTGCAGTGATATAAAGGGAGAAAGGGGAATTATGGGAGGGAGTATGGGGAGAGACAACTAACACTAAAGGCCTTTAGAAAAAGCCATATGGAACCCACAGTTACGAAGTTTCTTAAAGTGCATACACATACATTGTAAAAGATTTAAAGAGTTACCTCACAACAGGGGGACATGGCCCCAACTAGATTCCATTGGCTAGCAAAGTGAAAGTCCAATGGCAAGGATAGACTCCCTCTTTTGAAGCTGTTGACCAGGGGTCCCATAGACCCTCTAACAATACTGGTCATTTCCCTTGCTCTTGGTTACCCACCAGAACTTAACTGTAAGACCCTAGTGCTAAACACACTACACACACGAGCTGCAGAACAAGGAGAAACCAAGCTGGTGCTGAATTCAAAGCTTCAGCATCCTTAAAGAAACAAAACTTGAGTTCTTCACCTGCTTTTTTCTTAATAAGAAGTCTGTCTTCAGTGTGTTTGCTTGTTACAGGCTACAAAAGCTGAGCTCCTTCCATTCCAACATCATATTCTGTAACCCGAAATTTCCTCTGGAAAGCTAGAATTGATTGGGGGGCAGACACAGAGCACAGGGAAAACGGGTGGAGCCGTAGCCAGAGCCACGCAGGGGAGAAGCACCTCAGGGGAGAAGCACCTGGGGAGGGAAAAGCACCTCGGGGGAGAAGCACCTCAGGGGAGAAGCACCCTGGGGGAGAAGCACCTGGGAAGGGGAGAAGCACCTCGGGGGAGAAGCACCTGGGGGGCGGACCCTGGGGGAGGAGCAACTAGGCAGGGGAGAAGCACCTCGGGGGAGAAGCACCTGGGGGGCGGACCCTGGGGGAGGAGCAACTAGGCAGGGGAGAAGCACCTCGGGGGAGAAGCACCTGGGGGGCGGACCCTGGGGGAGGAGCAACTAGGCAGGGGAGAAGCACCTCGGGGGAGAAGCACCTGGGGGGGGAGAAGCCCCTCGTGGGAGAAGCACCTGGGGGGGAGCACCCTGGGGGAGAAGCACCTGGGGAGGGGAGAAGCACCTCGGGGGAGAAGCACCTGGGGGGGGAGCACCCTGGGGGAGAAGCACCTCGGGGGAGAAGCACCTGGGGGAGAAGCAGTGCAGACCATGCAGGATTGCCAGCGTGGATCACGAA